CCCAGGGCAGGCCCCATGCCCTAAAGTCGCTGGCTAACACAAAATTGACTCCATGTTTTGTTTTGTTTTTTTTTTTTGTGTGTGTGTGTGTCTTTTACTTAGTTTCATTTTCTTGGTTTTTCTCTTACTGGAATTTTTTGAGAGACAAAATATAAAGTCTAGTGGGTAGAGAAAGAGCTGAGAAAGAGTTGAGGAAAGGGAAGCAATATGGTCAAAATATACTATATGAAAAAAATTAAATAAAAGATTTCTTTTACAGGAGTTCTATTTTATATAGCATTTAAATTATTTTTATAATTTTAAGTGTGTGTGTGTGTGTGTGTGTGTGTGTGTATGAGTGCATGCGCACATATGTAGTCAGAGAACAACCACTTCTGGCAGCTGGTTCTCTCCTTCAGCCATAAAGGTTACAAGTATCACTATGGTCATCAGGCTTGGCAGCAAACGCTTTTGCTCACTGAGCCATCTCTCTGGCATTAAGATGCAATTTTAAAAAGATATATTTAAACAAGATTTTTTGTTTTTTTCTTTTGGTGTTTTTCTTTTTTGTTTTGTTTTTATTCTTTTCAAGATAGGGTTTTCCTGTAGCTTTGGAGCCTGTTTTGGAACTCACTTTGTAGACAAGGCTGGCTTCGAACTCAAGAGATTCGCCTGCCTCTGCCTCCCAAGTGCTAGGATTAAAGGCATGAGTCCCCCTCACCCTCGCCCTCTGACTCTTGACTTTTTCAAGTCAGGTTTCTCTGTGAGGCCCTGGATATCCTGAAACTTGTTCTGTAGATCAAGTTGGCCTCGAACTCAGAGATCTACCTGCCTGTGCTACCTCAAGTGATGGGAGTAAAGTTGTGTGCCGCCACCACCACCTGACTGAACAAGCTTATTTTTAAGCAACTCTTTCTTCAAGTGGTAAGTCAGATTTAAAAAAAAAATTCAAGTAATCAAAATAAAATAGGAATCTGAAAATATGGTTATACTATAAGAGAAGAAAAATGAGTCTCAAAAAGTTAAACCAGGAAAGAAAATCCAAAGGGATTACAAAAAAATCATTAGGAATAATAAGACTTTAAAAGTAATTGACTATAAAAATATATTTTGAAAACTAACTATATTTGTACATTAACCAAAAATTTAGAAAGCCTAATTAAAAGAAAGTCAACACACACACACACACACACACACACACACACACACACACACTAGGGCTCAGGAGACAGACTAGGATGGTTAAGAGTTTGGGGCCATCCTCAATTCTATAGTTGGTTTATGGCCAACCTGAGCTACATAACATTTTGTCTCAAAAACAAAATTAATAAAGTAGTTTGAAACAAAATCTTGTTTGAGTATGAGGAAAATTACTTGTACATGATACCAAAAGCATAAAACATAAAAGAAAATGTTGAAAAATTAGATCACATGAGAAGTCCTTTGTCTTAAAAGACAAGTCAAGTTGAGAAGGTGGGTTTTACAGAAGCCTAATTCAGATAAACCTGGAAAACCTATAACTTGTTTCTAAAAAAAAAAAATCTTTTTTTTAAATCACAAACTAGCCATTAACAAGCCTATACACTAAGTCCAGAGCAGAGATGAATACAGTAAGCAAACACCAGAATCTAACAAGTTTGATCTCATTACTTCAACAACACACATAAATCTCTTATACCAGATGGAGGCCAATAATGTCAACATGATTTTAAAATTCAGTACACAAATTATCTGATACAGTCAATATCTCAATCAAATCATGCGATTGTTAGTAAAACATTAAACAGTCAAGATGGTAAGAAACACTAGTCATAATAATCACATTAACATTAACGTGCTCAGGACCACTGCACCTACACTAAATCTTGATGGCATGTGGGATCTGGGAAGTGTCGAGAGCCACCTCTTCCTTAGGCCTGTAATCTAGTTACCATCTAGTACAACATAGAGACAAGTTGTGTTTCCATCTCAATCTCAAACCAATCTGCTTTTCTCCATCTTATTTGAAGCTACTGTCTATTCCTTGCATTTCTGGAATCTTTTCTAGGGACATCTTGCATTCACTCCATATAATCTCAACGTTCACTATATTGCAGCTATATTAATTTAAATATATGCTTATATATATTTCCATTTGTGCCTATGTGTTGGTCTGATGTGTGTCAAATGTGCTTGAGTGTGAGGTAAAGAACAACCTCTGGTGTTGGTTTTTGCCTTTCATTATTTTGCAAGGTCTCTCTTGTTTACTGATACACTGAGTTATTCTGACTAGTGAGCCCAAAATCTTCTAGAGGATTTGCCTGACTTTGCTTTCCATTTTGCTGTAGGAATGCTGGAACCATGGGCATGTACTATGGTGTCTAGCTTTTTATATAGGTTCTGGGAACTGAACCCAGGTTCCCAAGCTCATTTTTAACCACTGCGCCATGCAATCTGACTTCCCACATTCAGCGAAACAGAGACTGGAATCCTTTTTGTAAGGCCAGGTAGTGCACAACTTAGACTCTGCGGCGATATAGTCTCTGTTGCAACTATTCAGCTCTGCATTTGAAATGTAAAAATAGTCAACAAACAAACAGATAGCTGTCAGGCCAGCTGCAGCCTGGGAGTCAGTTTGCTGACCCTTACAATAAATAGAGTGTGTACACATTTGTACATGTTGAGTATGTGTGACCCTTTGTGTGGAGCAGAGGTCAGTATCTGTTGGATGCCTTCCTCTCTTCCTCTCTACCTTATTTTTTGAGACAGGGTGCCAAGCTCACTGAGTGTCTAAAGTGGCTAGACAGCAGATTCCAAGGATCTGCCTGTCTTCACTAGGGTTAAGATGCATGCGACACCTGACTGACTTTTTACACATTTTATATGTACTGGGGATCTGAACTCAGGTTTCCATACTAGCCCAGTGGTCACTTTACCTACTGAGGCATCTCCTCAGGTCCCACAACAATATATATTCAAATATGACAGAGAGAGAGAGAGAGAGAGAGAGAGAGAGAGAGAGAGAGAGAGAGA